CTCTCCGCCCTCCCACTGTAAGCCTTCTTTAGTCCCACTCTCTCTGCCCTTCTCTGAGCCCTCCCCTCCAGGACCTTTTTCTTGCCATTCTTTCCTTCTCCCCTCCCCCTCCTCTGTCCCTTCCCCCACCCTCATTTCCCCTGGCCTCCCTCCCCCACTCTTCCTCTTAAAGCTGACCGAGAGGAGCGAGTTAGGACTAGAAGAAAAAAACAAAAAGATGCTGAGGAACGATCAGCCTGGAGGCTTCGGGAAGAGAACAAAGAGGATGGATGGGCCGGGGTAGTTATTTGTATTAAAAGTGAGATATGACTCTATATTTCGCTTAACGTTTGGGGGACGTCCGCAGCTTCCACGGGGGCAGAAGGTAAGGCGCTTGTGCTCGCTATGGCGCCGTCAGCACCAAGGACAGCGCCCAGGCCGGTGCGCGCAGGGATTCTGCCTCCGGGGGCTTGTCACCCAGCATTGCCTGTCAGGCTGACCAGAGTGGGGGTTTCCTTCCTCTTCTCTCCCCCCTCCCCGCCCCCTCGTCCCCACAAAGATAGTTAAAACCTATTTGTAGTGACTTTGTTTGCGGGAGTCAAGCTGGAATCGCACACTAAGATTTCTCTGCAATGCAGGGTTGGCGCCATGAACAGATTGCAGATTTTGAAAACAACTAAAATTCATTCAACTTGTAGGCCAGTTTGAGTTTTCTAACATGATAGATGCATGAAATCAAGAGGGCCTAAAATTTGAAGGTCAAATATTCCTTGGAAAGGATGAGATGAAAAGTCCATGGAAATATAGTTTATAAGTTTGAACACAAAGCATTGCCTTGTCATCTCTCTGTTTAGTACTCCCTACAGGTAACTGTGATGATTGAAAAGCATATGAATTAATTTAAAAGTTGTCAAACAGATTCACCACAACCTTGAGTAAAACCAGATATTTTTCTTCATTTAAAGTGTAATATATTTCCTTATTTAGATTTGAATGACTAATTTGGAATAGATTTTTCACATTTTTCAGCATGTTTCTTTAAACAAGGAATCTACACAGACTTCCTGCTGTCTGGTGCACTGCTAACTGTTAACATGTCTTTTGGGGGGTAATTCAGGGTAAAAAAGTTCAGAGTACTGTAAGGCAAAGTGAGGAGCAGTAGGCAGGACTCATGACCATGTTTGCTGGGACAACAGGCACAATGATGGCCGGGAGAAACCACTGCTTATGAAAAGTAGAGACTCCAGACTTAATGTTTTCACAGCATGCTTTCTCTAGTCCTTGTTTTATTAAATGATAAGATCATGTCAATCAGTGAGTAATCAGAAAAGGCCTGGATTTCTAAAGATTTTTATTTTTAGATTTTATTTCTATAAGATCTCTTGGCCCACTTGTATTTTAAAATAGCAGGGGTTAGTTTAAGGAGTTACTTTTGGTTCATTAATGTCAAACTGCAGTATTGCAGGCTGTGCGGGGGAAGCTTGTTCTAGTTTCCTGAGCGATGGGATGGTTCTCTTTCAGGCAAAGAGAGCCCATGTCTCAAGCTGTTGGAGAGACAGATGACAGAATGAGGGGACTGGCCTGTGAATATTGTAAAAACAGGGTTTTCTGGTTTCAGATAGAAAAATAAAAGAAAAAAGAAAAAAAAAGTCCTGCCTTTTTGTTCAGTACTGCTAGTCTCCAGACAGGACTCGGAGAAAGATGTGATCAGATAAGGCCAAAATGCTAATTATGCAGTAATTACTTTCTACTTTTACTAGTTCTTGCTAATTATATAGTAATTATGCTTTGGTTACTTATTACTTTCTACTTTTACTAGTACTTAAAAAAAAATAAAAGCCTTTGGCAATTTCATGGTGCATATGCACTTAGCGTACTTTAGGTAAAAGGAGCAAATGGTTAACCGGCAGGCTGCTGCTGTTAGTTTTCTTCAGATCCGTGAAAATGAAATGACTCTGCAGAGAGACATTCACAAGGGAACACATGTCTAACTTCACAATTAGCCTGTTTTGCCTTGTATTGAAACTAGCTCAGAAATTGTTAAGCTTCCAACGGGTTACAGAAGGAGGAAAACATTGCGTACAAACAAAACAACAGCCAATTACTCAAGCTAAATTCAGTGAGTGTCTAGACTCCATAGCTTTAATTGTAACTTCAATGTCACACGCAGTATATTGTTCAGTCTGACCATAACAGGATAATGCAGAGTTATAACAGACACCTTACTAAGGAAAAAAAGTTCTCATGGCTTAAAAAATGAAGGATCCAGTTCCACATTTATCAAAATGTTTTATTTTTGTATTAGACTTTTCACTTTTATCACCATGTTTGAAGGTGACTTGAAGGTTATGCTCATTAGTGAATGTATTATAAAAACTTTAAAAAAATCTATAACATTTTCCATCTTTGTCTCATATTTTTGAAGAACAATTATCATGCTAATATTTGTCATAGAAAGAAATGTAAAGCTTTGCTTTTACTTTTTTTTTTTTTTACCACGATGACAATAAGGCTATGGAATCTTCTGAAAGTATTAACAAGAAAGGAAAAAAGCATAAGGATTTATCTGAATTTACAGCACTGTTGAGTTTGACTCTAATACTTTTATAATTTATTTTAAATAGGTAATCACACATGATTTAGGTATAAACTTAGAATTATACATTTATAATGAAATTATCTCTTAATTGTTGTCCCACAAGTTACAGTGTGTTTTGAATCACTTTCTAGGGAAATACAGAGCATACTGTGTGTTCCTTCAGTAGATGAAGTGAAAATGTTAACTTTGTAGTTAAGAGATAGCTATTCTGAAGTCTTATCTTATGATAATGGTAAAATATCATTTGCATAAGGGGCTTATTTATATGGGTTTATTGGGTTCAAAAATATGGTTAGAAAAACGAAGAGTTGGGCATTTTCTTCCTTCTTCCCATATTGCCTTACATTTTAAAGTGTTCACTTTTGATACATAAAAATACAAAGATGGGATGTGGGAGTGGGCAGCAAGCAAGAAGCTCTGGATGAAAGACACCACTGTCAAATGGGTAGGCTGAATCTAAGATTAGATTATCTCTCCTTTTCCCAATTTACTGTGCTGTCTTAAACCTGATCCTTTTGCCTGGGAGCTGATGTTAGAACTCATGACGAACAATTATAAACCAAACCTCTGCTGATTAGTTAAGGGTTGATGTAGGGAGCTAGGAACTTGGTCACCTGGAGAGGGACCATAAGGAAAGTGAAAACTATAATACTTATTTCTACTTGAGCCTAGGCATGTCAAACTGTGAAAGCAGATTTGACTTTTGTTCTTTTTTATTTCAGGTGTTGAAAGCAAAATAACAATATTCTCAGGGAAGAAAGGCTGTTTTTTTGTCAGGAAAATTGGGATGTACGTGTCCTTATTGTCTTTAATTAAACCAAGTCCATTTGAACCTCAGTGTTCTTTTTCTAATATTAACCACTGAAGTGGTGTTTGTTTCCCTTGCCAAAATTTTTATTCATTGAATATTGCCTTATATTTCTGTCAGTGACTGTTTTTATAAAAAGTTAAGTGAAGTATTTAAAAATTAAAAACATTTCATATCTTTATGTTGTTTCAAACATAAGCTTAATCGGTGTTTGAAATCTTATATCTATCTGGAAATTTCATGTTTTAAGGAGGAAAGATTTTGCTTTCAGCTTTAACAGAGCTTTTCTTTTCTTTTTTTGCTGTGTAATGCCTTCACCTCACCACCTGGAATCAGTTCTGTAAAAGCCAGAGGAGGAGGACTTAGAATGAAAAAATATATTTAAGATGGCCCTTTAAAAAGGGATTCTAAAAATAAAATTCAGTAGGTGCATAATAAAACAGTTGTGCTGTATTAATTTTCAGCACGATTTTAATTGGACACGTTGGCTTTATCTGTAAAGGGGCAGATCTTGAGATATGCACTCGGATTTCTAAAACCCTGCATTGCTCATAACTTTGCACCAGTGCAGCCATAGAATATTTACGGCATGTTTTATCCCAAGCGGACTAAAGCCTGACTTAGCAAGGGACATATGATTTTATTAGAAACTCTTAATGAAAATGAGCTTTGTAAAACTAGAGCAGATCAATCATCTATTATCTTCCGACCAGATTTCTGAGGAAAGTTAAATGCAAGGACATAAAACACAGTCAGAAAAAAAGCCCCAACTAATAATGAAGTTTCGTTGTTCCAGGGTTGGGTTCTTTCTTCATGATCTCGGCAATTGGAGAAGCAGTGTTCTTTCAGAATCCTCGGAAAATGGGTTCACGCTCAGAACTATCTCTTTTTACTTAGATTGCCATGAACATTATATAGTTTAGAATATTTTTATTCACTTATTTTTTTGTTAAAATTAACATGCTTAGTGTGGCAATTTATAAAATACAGAGACACAGTATTTTCTTCTAGCTTTTTCTCTGTAATTTAAATGTAGATGGATCTTTCTTTTTATATAATTCCGTACCCTGCTTTGTAAAATAGCTATATCCGAGTATGCAACTTGCTGTCTTAGAGGAAGGAATGCGGTACTGTTTGCCATGAGACCTGGGTTTCAGCCAACTGTTTGACTTTTACTTTCTTCTGTAAGAAAATATTTTAGAGCCCTTTAGATCA